TGAGGCCTATTTTTATTATCACCCTTATAAAAGATGACACTGTTCCTACTAAAAGTGCAGTGTTTTCACTACAGAGCGAGAACGCGAGAATCTCGCATATTTTTTTCTTTTCTCGCAATAAAAAATGATAAACGCGAGAAGTTCGCGCACTCTATTAATCAGTTTCAAAATGCGCGAATTTTGGAAAAAAATTTCGTCTTTCGCCATTTTGAATAAAATCCGTTTCACTTTTCTTCCTTGAACTTTCATTATTTTGAACATCGGTCCTTGTTATCTAGCTTCCCTATTTACCAGTATTATTCAGAACTGGTGCGAACAGTAGAACACCCCCCTCCCCGAACCACGGAACCCTTTCAGAGCACATTTCTCTGCAACCATGTGTTCACCGTAGGTAAGGTATCTTCATGTAAGTCGTTTACATTTTTTGTGCATGAATGTAAGATGAACAAATACCTTGTTAAGGCGACATCTTCTACTCCGTAGCGAACAAATGAAAATGAAACAAATGTCCGTAGAAACGGTCAAAACGAAACAAATACGGATATTTTTTAACCAAATAAATATAATAGCTGTTGAAAAAGTAGATATAGAACATTTTCCATATGATGATGCAGCAAAAATATTCAATTAGAAGATTTTAAAAATGTATTGTAATTAAAGAAAAATTTTTTTTTCCAAATCTATTCGTGTTTTTTTAATTTGTAGAAATCTCACTTAACTTTTAGAAATCTCACCCTGTTTTTGAGAAAGGGTGAGAAATTCTCTCCCATTTTTTTTCTGTAATGAAAACACTGGATATAGACAGATTTTAAACAAAATTATGTACAAAAAAAACAAACAATAATTTCAAAAATAAAAAACCAAAACATTGAATTGCAAAAATATAACACATGGAGGGGATTCCAAAAAACAATAATAACCAATATGTAAATTGCTTTTGCTGTACACAAAGCTATCTTATTGTCACTGGACCAATCTAATGAGAAGTTCCGATTAATTTCTCCGGGTAAAGAAATGTTTTGTACCATCATAGCACTAGCCATAATTTTACAAATAGCATAAAACCAATATAGTTATTGAATAATTTATTATATTAATGCAGAACGAAATTTTAATAAGAATTACATCAGCGACAGTGAGAAAACGGCTCAAAGATGTTTACAAACAAAAACAACGCGGAACTTTTGCTGCTTATTTCTGTTACTTTTAGTGCCTTTTCATCTTTCGAAACAAGTGCACTTAGGGTTGGAAACAGTAGTGCGGATTGCTCTCACTACCAATCAGAATACAAGCCAAAATATTCCCTATGAAAAAACTCACCAATCAAATTCTTCAATTTTCAATGCGGAGAAATGCGTAAGCAGCATTTATTGAGACTTGCCCTCAAACCTGCAGAAAAAAAACTTTCAAGCTGCGCTTGTACTTTTGACTTAAGACTTCACTTATCTTATGTACTTTCACACATTGTAAAAAGAGAGCGAGGAAGTTATCCAGAAATGTGACAGGTATTGGACAAGTCAAGTTTTTAGGGACATTCTCACTTTCTTACATGACATCGTGGACTGATCGTACAGACATGGTTCCCAGTAGAGCACCGAAATATCACTGGCTGAGCGGATGGGTCAGAAAGCGGATGGGTGACCACTTTGATCAGCCTGCGTAGGGATCAAAGGTGAGTGACATCGGTCCTCGTTAAACTGCTCTACCGTAAAGTTCTCGAGCTACCAAAGTAGAGGTGCCATCCCCTCTGCAGAGGATCGAAATTGCGATGGCATGTCTTCGAATGCGAGATCCTGTTTGCGAGACCATAGCTAATAGCCCATTGTGAAGCTCTAGTGCAGCGTAAATAAAGTTCCTACCTACCTTAACTGCAAAAGCTACAATAAATTACGTGACTTACACCCTCCTCAGAATATACCCAATTTTAATCTCCATTAAATAACTTTATTCACCCTGTGTGGCGATTATTGGTTTTGCCTTCTACTAATCAGTATCATAATTACTATTATCTGATATATAACTTTTATGCGACGGATCTAAGGCTAAAATTTAACTGATTGAGCATTAGACCGTTTTTCTGAAAACTTTGTAACCGGACAGCGTACATTCTAATTAGTCTAGTTTACGGGTAATGAGATTTCTGGTCAAGGTGCCTTTGCACTAGAAAGTGACCGGGTTATATTTAATTAGTAACACTGTAACCATAGGCGTCGTTGAGGGAGGGGGAAAAGTGGATATATGTCTCCCTCAATAATTAAAAATCTCTATAAGCCCCCTTAAATGTTTCAGACAAATAATGAAAATTTTCGTAAATTATCATCAAATTAAAGTTTTTAAGCTGTAAAACAAAAATGAGATTAAAAATAATCAATCTCTCTGCAGGTATTTAGCACATTTAAGATTTTTTCCTTTATGTCTATTTAATTTTTCTCTTTCAAAAAGTTCTAATAAAAACTGTCCTTTTAAAACTGCCTGCTACCAAAGCCTTAGCTAATATGTACATTTATTTTTCATTAAAAATTATAAAATGCAACAAATATATGGTGCATTCTACACCAAAGGGGAGCTGCAGTTTTTCCCATTGGACATGAGCAGGTTACTGTATCCAATCTATTTCGGACACCGTTTGAATTAATGTTTTAAAAATAGTAGAAATGAAATAAACCAGCAGAAAAAATACACAATATTAAGCAAGAGTTTTATAATTAAATTAATGCATACGAAGATTTCGAAAGTAAATAAAAATACCTAATAGATGCTAAAAAAAAACTAACAAAGCAGCTATAACCTTGTCAGAAATACATTCGTCGAAATTTAAATAAAATATTTTTTATTTGGAAGATAAACTTTTAATTACTACTTTGATGAGAATGAAATAACAAAATAAAATTTCCAGCACTTATAACACCAAATAAGTCAAAAAGAGCCATATCTTCCGAAGTATAGTAACAATGTCACTAAAAAAATGCGTTTCAAGACTCTAAACATTAATTTCCTTTTGAATCGATCGAACAGATGAGTTCATGCATTTTAATAGTGATTTTTTTTGCTAAAAACAAAATCAGCTTTTCGAAAATACCTCTTTGAACAAATAGTTTTAGTAAGCAATATTCAACTTAGGTGAACTGAACTCTGCCTCTTATTCTAACTGAAGGTGAAATTTCAAGGTTTGTATTAAAAACACTATGAATACAAACCATAATCAGGATTTCCAGGAAACCATATTTCTCAACCAACCATGTTGGGGAAACATTTCTATAATTTCCATTTGACTTTTTTGAGTAAAAGATAAGCATCAATTAAAGTTGATAAGAAAATCTAAAAATATGTATAGTGAAGATTGTAAAATCATCATTAGAAAACGTACAGAATAGAATATCATTGCAAGGAATTTGATTATATTATATTATTTCATAAATATAAAATGGAAATTAGATGCACATTACCTTAAAGAACTTCAGAAAACATGGTTCGAAAAAAATAAGTTTTTTTTTTAAAAACACAGTTAACTTTTCATTTGTTGCTGAACTACAACATAAGTCTAATTTTAGACAAATCATTTTACTACACTATATGCTACCATTCTTCTTTTTTCAATTAATCAAATGCCATCAGGAAAAGCAATGAAGAAAAATTATATAAGTTCTGATTATCAGGATTGAATGATGGCAAAATAAAAAATTTTAAAGACCCTTTATACTGCTTTCGTAAAGAAATTTTCTTTACTTGTTAAACAAATTACTTAACATATTTGGATTGACAACATCGCATGAAAATTGCATGCATAACTAATTGCAAGTGGGGTAAGACCAGGTAGTTAAAATATGAAGGTAAACTGTTAGTTATAGAAAATGTCGATTTTTATCAAGATATTCATTGTTTAGTTGTGTACAAACTATCATTCTTGAAAAGTCCCTACTATTTTTATAAATGATTTTCTAGAAAAAGTCAAATCACCACCAAGTAAACATCTTAACTCTGTGGGAAATTTAGAAATATTAATATTTCTGTAAAAAAGTAGCAAACATATCTATTTTAAAAGAAAATTATGCATGCAATTTTCATGCGATATTGTCAAGGATGCATTCATGGAAGAGGGTCAGCCCAAAATTAAATTCAAATATATTTAGTAATTTGTTTAACAAGTAAAGAAAATTTCTTTACGAAAACAGTATAAAGGGTCTTCAAAATTATACAAAACATGAGAATAAGGCTTTTCAACACAGACAGACTGCAGGGGTGATTGTGAGCCCAACTCAAAATTCCGTTAATAAAATCATTATAATGATCAATGATTTAAATCATTGATATTTTCACATGAAATTCTAAATAAATTATATGCAGCATAATTTAAATTAATAATTATGTATAAATTTACTTTTATCTCTAATCGCATTTCTTATTCTAGTTCTAATATTTTTAAATAAAATGTACAAGAATTTTTATACATAAATGTGATCGATGATTTCTTGAAATATCTGGACTTCGGAGCACAATCACTCATGTGACTAAAGTCAATATGATAGAATCTTCGGGACTGGTAAAGTAATTAAATATTTGTCCGTTAAGAAAAATCATTTTGACATGAGTGGCTCTTTTTCCTTTACTGGGTTAGGATTTCATTGACTTCTTAGAATTCAAGAATGGGAGTATGTTGAGAGAAAAAACATTCCTTTTAGAAAAATTACACTATTGAATAAAAAATTATAAAAATAAATATCTGAATTTAGGGATTGTTTATACAATTTTGTGATTATTTACTCATTTACACAACTTAATGAAAATTGCATTGAAGCAAAATGAAATAAATCTAAGGTTCAAACTAAAACTTATTCTTAATGATTTTCATTATAACTAACTGTATAAAGTAAAGCACGCCCACAACAGCCCTATGTGGGCCAGGGGGTCATAGAGGTTAAGGCTCTACAATTTCGAAATTAACAGCATGAGTGTGGCAACGTGGACTGTGCACAGGCAGTTTTTCGTCCCAGATAAGCAGGTAACCTAAGATCTGAATCTAGGTGGACTTCACACCGCCGCTGAGGAATGAACATCAGTTTTTCACAAAGACAGTTCAGTACCTTAAACACTGAGCCATCGCGGCATCAACTGTATAAGGGAAATATAAATATTGTCGAATTGTTACCAAAACCAATAAATGACACAAATCGAAAGTAAAACAAAACAATTTATTACAAGTTTTGTAAGCAACTGAACAGTCTTAAACAGATTTAATAAATCTGTTACAAAAAGCACATCACAGGTTAGTCTAGTCAATTGAAAATACGATTTTTATACAATTAGCTTTCACATACTGTATAAAAATACTCTCATATTACAATTTAATGGAAGTATTTCTACAGGATTTTTGATGCAGGATAATACTGAAACTTCATACAAATATTTTACTTTAAAACTTCCTTTTCTTTAAAAAAAATAAAATTACAAACTTTACACAAAGGCAACAATAATTCTGATGAAAAATATTCTTAAACGTGAACGTAACATTATCATAAATTTGTTTCTAATAGCCAACAACAGAAGCTAGAAGTAGAAAAGCATGAGATAACATGAAAATGCTAATTTTGTTCCTTTAAAAAACATTTCAACAGAAGTATAAAGGTAAAGAGATTGTAAGATTACACACTATTTCCTATAAAACAAAAGTAATTAACTGACAAAAGAATAAATGAAACTTGAAAAACCGAAACAAAAAAAATTATAAATAGCTCAAAAATAATCAGATTTAAAATAGTTCTAAATCAGAATATAAATTTCACGATGAAAACAGTATCTTAATACAAAGGTTATTTTGTATCAAAGTTCTTATTTCAAACTTCACATTTTTAAAAATTTCATAAGCAATACCAAAAATTCATTATCTTTTTCTAAGAAATAAACGTAAAATATTTTATCACCTTCTTTTAGTAAAGCACTTTGAAAGTCTGAATTCTTCAAATTGTTTAATCAAGGACAACATCTAAAATAAGTCTTTAAGAACTTAGTAATTATAAATGGTTCATACAATGATTTGGAAATTCTTATCTTCCTAAACTTTACATACATTAAGTCAGGGCACGAAATTTCAGTTCTTAAGTATTTCAAATTTTTGCTTGCTACTATTTATTTAAACAATTTTCAAAATGTCAACAGATGCCATTAAGAACTTTTTGGCGACTCAAGCCACCTAAAGAATGTAGAAAATGACAAACTAAATGTGAAATTTAGAAAAAAAATATCTTGACGTCTATTAAAAGTATAGAAAAATATAAATAGCTGCATGAATGACCATTTCTCTGAAAACACAGTAATCTTCTAAAGAATATGGATATTGTTTGATAACATTATTAGTACCACAAAGGGCTACCTCCCAGTAGTTAATATCATATTTATGAAGAAAAACATAGTTAGAGATAAATCTAATTCAGTATTAGCATATAATTTAAATAATAGAGGAAATTTCATGCCCTGCATTTAGTTGAAAAACAATTCCTTCAGTATTCCTAAATACTTATCATTACTGAGGATAAGACTCCAAATCATTATAAGCACCTCATAACTATTTATACATTCAACAAATAAATGTACACTAAAATACAATGAAATATGAGAAGAATAAAACCAAGGATATAATATTCTTGGTTCAAATAGTTTTTTTTTCTCGCAGTTTCAAAAATAATGAATAAATAATTTAATAAGTTAACTGAATGCTGACTGGTGATCTTGTATAAAAACAAAAACAATGTACTAAAAATGCATTCTATAGATTGAATGTTCTGTGCTAGTTAGTAGAAGATCACAGTTTGACATTGAACAAGCTATTGTAACTAGCCAAAAATCATTGATTTTGAAGTTCCTTTCGGAGTTCGTCGAAGCTTGTGACAAACCATTTTGCTTCTTTCTTCACTCTTTCTCTAATCTGATTTCCACCAAAGCCAATGAAGAGGTCCTATAAAAATGTCATTTATTAGAGAACTTACTTATCATATACTATTAACAAATAAATTAGTTAATGTGGCCACACAGGCATTAGAAGTAATATAAAATAAGTTAAAAATTACTCTGCAGTCCAGTGGGATGAAAGACATAAATTTAAAGGTTTACTGTTTTTTATAATATAATGTCCAAAAACAAAAATTTACAGCTCAGTAGGAAATTAAAAGAATTTATTAATTTATATTAAGAATGAATAATAAGACTGATGACCCCACAACACTTTTTTGTCTTTTTTCCCTCCTTAGTCACAGTAGAGCGTTCTATCAACATTAAAGGGAAGCTGTTAGTTTAAGCTCCGACAAATAGATAGTCTACAATTTAGTGTATCTATCATATCTATGCTTACTTATGTGTTTTATTTTCTACCAATGATTAACCATATCCTTTTTTTAAGAAAAAAAAAGTTGAGAAACTATAATATTACAGAAAAAATTACTTAAAATGCATAATACTGTATGTTCTTTAAATTTTATTCCTCATTCAAAGAATCAACAGGTACAGTTATTAGAATCTATTAGTGTAATGAAGCACTGTAATCGTTTTTTTAGAAATTGTAGCGATTTTGCTGTACTTAAAAATAAAACCGTGTCACCATTTCTGTAGGTCCTAGCATTAAAGTGAGAATTTTTTCAATACCTTTTCTGTGATTTAAACTGTAAATTACGTACACAACACGTTTAAAAACTTAACAACAATTACATTTTAACTTTAATTCAAAATGATAGCCTAATTTTAGATAGGATTAACATGAATTATTAGCTCTCTGTGAATTTTACTTCCTAACAAACTATACAACGTCTCTAAGAATACATTTGATAGAAATCTTCGTAACAACTAACTTGCATAGTTTCCTTACTTTTAAAGTGTGAGAAATATTTAAAAAAAATTTAAATTAATGTGAAATACTTTTTACTATCACATTAAATGTCATTATAGAACTGCATTTTAACCCAATAAATAGTCAGAACAAAAGAACAGCCACAAAAGAACTTACTGCTGGGGGAGAAGCAACAAGATCAGTAGCTCCATCACCAATCATTACAAGCCTTTGATATCCATGCCTATGTTTAAGATAAGCAGCAACTTGAGCTTTGCCATCTTGTTCACATGTGGGCTGGGTTTCATCAAAGCCAGCATAATCTCCTAAGATTTAACAAAAACAATTCAGCCAAACTTTTTCATAATTAGGTATAAAGAAAAAAGGTATAAAAATAAATTTAAAGGCAGACTGGTATTTAAAAAAATTTTTTTTTAAACATAATTGGTTAATAAATGTTAAATGAAAGTAAACTATACCAAAGATTCAATTACTAGCTTTACTGAAATAAAGCAAATTGGTTTACAACATATTGAAATTTTAAAATATAATAGTTTTTTTTACACTTAATTCAAAAAATTTTTCTTCCAAAACGAATTGTTCATGTTACAGTATGCCTGGTATACCACTGCCCAGTATACCTTACACTGGTGTTTCTTTTAAGGTTTAGTGCCACTGCCCAGTACTCTAAACACTGGTGTTTCTCCGAATCTACCCTCAGCAGACATTAAAATATCACATAAATATAATGATATCAATAAATAAATTAATTTTAAATTGGATATAACAAATATTTCGAACATTCACCAAAGCAACTATGTGTTTGCTGACATTGAAAGTCAACATTTTCTTGATTTTGGTCATTCACAGCAACATTCCCATTAATCTTTTCTTCTTCTTTTTTTTTTTTTTAAAGAATGTAAAAGATAGTAGACCTGTTTCGTAGGGTTAAATTGGTCTTACCTTAAAGAGGTAATTGGACAATGTTATGCCTATGCATTCAGTTACAGTTTAGAAAGAAATAAAAGAGCTAAAATATCCTTTCATATAAAAATATTGATACAGTTTTTTTAATAATGAAACATAAAAACAGGTACTACAAAACTATCTACCACATATTGAAATAAATATTAATATATATTTATTAAGGGCATGTCAAACAGTAAGAGTTTTGTAAAGAAAATCCCATTATTAAATTGAACTCTTAAGAGAACTGCTTTCATTTTGTAATGGAAAAGAATAAATATCTAGTTAAATGCATACCATTGAAATAATATTTTATCCTATTAGCGAACACATGATTCAGAGGGATACCAAGATCTTCTGCAACTGGTTGAATGATCGTATCAAAACCACCAGAAACTAGGTAGACAGATACATTATTCTTTTGTAATGTAGATATCAATTCCCTGAAAAATAAACAAAAATAAATTTTTTGCACTTTCTTTTTTTTACACTATTTAAAAAGAGAATTTTTTTTAATAACATGAAATTAATGTCAGATTGACATATTTTATAAAAAATCAACTCTTTTTTAGTCTGCTAAATGTTCTTTTGCTTAAAGACTTGTATATCATTTACACATTAACATACACACTATTTAATTTCTTTTTTTTTTTAAAGGATAAGAGAATAGTTCTCTTAAAAAAAAGAAAAAATAATGTAACAAATTTCCTTTCCCAAATTTTTTTAAAAAAGAATTCTGGAAAATATTAAACAATTTAAATTAATAAATATTTCATACTTTTTTTAGCTCTTGAAAAATATATAGGGTGACCTGGGGTAATTCCTGATCAAAAAATGCAAACATCTACTTTGTGAAAAAACTATTCAAGATAGAATTTCAATATTTACTGGAAGTTTGAGGCTACATGAGATGAGTTCTATGCTACCTTCTTTTGTTTGAAAATCTAATTAGAATTTAAAAGATTTAAAAATTTTTTAGTGATCAGGAATTACCCCTTCTCTTGATCAATTCTGGGGCAAATCCTGATCATTTCTGGGGTAATGAATGATCACCAGTTTTCATAGCAAATGGGCTGTTTAAAAATAATTATACAATGGTAATTAAGAAATAAGACATTAAGATCAAACAAATAAACCAAAAAGATATGTTTAAGCAGCTAATAAAACGTTTTATTTAAAATCAGGAATAAAGATTAACACTTCAGCTCTGGCAGCAGCTCTCACACTGAAATTTTCATTTTGAATCATTAAAAGAAATTCACTATTTTTGCTTTCTAGAAGCGTAGTATCCTTTTTAAGCTTATAATTTCTCCCCATATTTATATTAGGTTAATTTATCAACTTAAAAATTATTCTAACAATGTACACACATAAATTAAGATAGAAGCACGGTAAGACCAGCTAGAAATGGTTCATATCAGAACACATTTTTCTTGTATACAGTTAAAAACAAATTTTGTGATTATAGTTAAAATATATTTTATAGTTGTTCCACTTAATAAATATGAACTGTTATATAAGAAAAGACAATTGACTATTTATTAGCTATTTTTTATACTATTTATAAGAAGAAATGACAATGATCAGGAATTACCCCAGTGATCAATAATTACCCCATCTGTAGGGGGCAACATTTGATATAGTTTCCTATAATCAATTATAATGTTTACAGTAGATGTGAAACAATTAAACAAAAGCTTACACTATTTTTATATCAAAGAAAAAGAAAGTAACTCAAAATATTTATTATTAAGAGAAGGAGGGGGATCTTTGCAGAAATGTGCACATTTTGAAACCCATCTTTGAAATGGAAAATACAGAAAGCAGTTTAAAAGATACTTATTTTGTTAGATTAAACAAAAAACTATTATTAAGTAAATGTAGTTATACTTTAGTAAAGTGTACAAGCATTCTTGTCCATGTCTCAAATTTAAAAAAAAATTATTTTTTAAAAATAAAACTTAGGTGATCATTATTTACCCCAGAAACAGAGTGATCGTGAATTACCTAATTGTCACCCTAATTGTCAGCAAAAGATAATATTAAATTTGTTATCATCAAATTATTTTTCTTTAAAAGCACTGTTATTTCTTAGATAATCAATTTTAAAAAAAAGGGGGGAAAAAAGAACAGCTATTAATGAGTCATTTGACACCTTTTATGTGCTTGCTTCGAAAATAAGAAAGTATAAATGTAACCAAAACACATAACAATGAGAAAATAAAGTATTCTTGCTAACTTTTAGATTTAAATGTTTTAATATTAGTTAGAATTTTAATTGCTGTTAATTGTTAGAAGAAAAAAAAAGCACAAAGAAAAATGACTGATCTAAAAACTCTTAAACATTATTTTGAAAATCACTGAAGCAGCTTTTCATACTTTTTAAACCATAAGAAACACAAACTTCAGACAAAGCATTAAAAACACACAATTTTCAAACATTTTATAACAAAAGTCATAACGTCAAGTATTGGTAATGTTCAATACCTTTTATTTCAATAAAAATTGGAAACTCTTGTTAATACATAATGCAGGATTAAACAATTACTTTGTTTGACAACAGATCAAAGTGCTATCACACTTAATTTTTAAATTACCTACTTTACTCTTCTGACATTTTTCGTATAAGATTTTAACAATTTTAATAAACATTTATACTCATCTGATACATCATTTAAAAGATTCTATACTAATCAAAACATTGATTTGTTTAGGTTGAAAGGATAGGGGGAAAAAAAGCTAATCCTTTCTAAAATAAGAGTTATAACTTACATAAATGTGCAACCAAACTAATATGAAAGCCTTTACACATAAAAATTCAGATCAAAATGAATGAGAAGACTATTTTTCATAAATATTGTTCAACATTATACAAGAATTAATATAGCTTATGTCTAACAAAAAAATTTTACATGCATAGAATCAACATTATTATATTATTTATTTACTAATATTTTTTTTGGTAAACTTTTAAAATTCTGAAACTTCTCTTTAAGTGGTTTGAATAAAATAAATTAACACTATTTCCATCAACAAAACAAAACAGAGAACAAAAATTTATAATGAAAAGAAAACTGAATTAAGACACATTATACGTATTTTAAGATACATGACATGACAGGACGACATACAGGTAATGTGTTACCTAATCCCAGGTGTTAAAGATGGAGACTGGGTTTCTAAATATCTTCTCATGACAAACACTGATGGTTGTATGATGTCAAGCCGCATGGCAAGAGCTTCTTTAAATGACATTCCCCCTCTCATTGCTTTTTGAGTCCTGTTAAAACACACAAATTTTAGCCAAAGTCTTGAAACAATTAACCAAAGACATTTACAGACAAATTTCAATTTTTAATTATATCAGTTACAAATTTAGATTTATAAGTCTAAATTTTCAATTGATCTGATTGCAACTGATCTGATTACAACTAAACTGATAGCAACTGATCTCTGATCTGCATCTTATTTACATATAATATTTAGACTTAAAAGTAAATAAGCTGTAGATTATCAAAGAGCTCTTTACCAAAATCTTTTTTAGTCATTCATAGTTAATCGTCCAACAGAAGAAAAAGAATG